CATTTTTCCATATTCTTCTCTGATGTGATGTAAGTGCACTCACTCAGACCATGGTTACCAAATTAAAATTGATCATTTGGTGTTACAGATTTGATTTGGTTCAATTATCCTAAAATAATTTTTCAAACTCTTAAAAATAGAGTGCTCGACTTTAGTCACTTCTCAATCAAACGAATTTTTCAAACTTTTTTATATTATTCGGTTCTCCATTTTCATAAAGCAAATTCATACATGTCCATAGACTTTTTTATGATGTGACCAGGGATGGGTTTATGATGGGCTCAGCCGCGCAGTCGTCTCCATTGAAATTTTTTCTTTTTACAATTGTACCCACTAATTTTGCTTTTTAAAATTATATACTTGAAATTTTTTGAGTTTGCCCGATGTTAGAGAAAAACTTCACTACTGTCCCCAACATTGTTTTGTTGTTCAAGATCGCCCCTTTTCACGTACTTTTTTGAATCTGTCTCTGAATGCGACTCAAATAATACCCAAGAAGCACATGCATTTCAAAGAAGCATAGGATTAGAAGAGGATCGAGAATTAAAGGTGCTTTTCTTTAATAAAAATGGTCAATTAGACGAATTTTCAAACTATTTTATGTTATTCAGTTTCCTTTTTTTTTTTTTTTTGGGTAAGTTTTTCTATTTTTATATAGCAAGACCGTACGTGTCCATTGTTTTTGTGATAAGCACATGCATGTTAAAGAAGCGTAGAACTAAAATAGCATCGAGAATTAAAGGTGCTTTTCCTTAGTAAATTGTCAATTGGACGAATTTTTAAATCGTTTTATATTATTCAATTCTCTATTTTTATAAAACAGAATCATACGTGTGTCCAGAGTGTTTTTTGTGCTGCGACTCAAATAATAACTGAGAAGCCAATGCATGTCGAGGCATAGAATTAGAAGGGCATAGAGAATTAAAGGTGCTTTTCTTTGTTTGTATTTTGTGGTTCAGGTTTTGTTATCAAAAAGATTCACGGCAAGATCTTGTCCAGAGTAAGACATTCAAAGAAACAAGGATTGATGTGATCCAAATGACGGTGAAAGCTAATAAAAACAGTACAAGGAAGATGCTTGGAAAATGCTACAACAAATATATATATTGTTTTATTTTTTTCAGTTTGTTACATTCTATTGATGATTTAATAATCACATAGTTTTGGACAAACATAGCCTAACATTCAGGAAAATATATATATATATATTAAAAAAATTAAAAACAAGCCTAAAGGGTAGAATTAATCCTAGGCATAATTTGACTCTTATTATAAGAATTGCAGTGGCTACCATAGAACTGGCTAATTAAGAATTATATTATGGTACGGATAAGAATTAATTTATTTTAAGCGTTTCTTGTGTTGTTAGGCTTTGTTATGTTGCTAGGTTATGTATTCTTCTACTCCGTCACAAGAACTTTGTGAATTTAAAATTATTTATTATTCATTCATAGACGTTTATATCTTCTCACAAGAACTCATTGTATTTCTTGTTTATAAAAACCAAAGTTAATAAAGTGTTTTTTTATATTCTATTAAGATTAATTACTGGTCAGGATGCTCATAGATTGGTCATAATATTTTAAATCATCTAGTTTATTTGGAGCACCTCCTTAACCACATTTGAACATGTAGGTGTAGCTAGGGCGATAAGTAAAGGTTATCATATAATATAGGGTCAATTGCATATAAAATATATATATATATATATACCTTAAATTAAAAAATGCAGAGAATATACCAAAAATACACACATCTAAACCTCTCTCACAAGCTAAGAAAAATAGGCGAAAACCAAACACGAGAGACACGGCCCATGCCACAAGGAGACCGCACATGTGCTCCACAAGCAAGTAGAAATTAATTGTTGCTTACCCATTCAACTAAAAAAAAAAAAAAAAAAAGTAGAAATTAATTGTTAATAACAATCTCCTATGGTTTATATATATAATCAGTGGCGGAGGCGGCATGTGCCCAGGGGCAGCTGCCCCCCTTGCCCATGCTGTCCCATTATAATTTTTTATTATTTATTTATTTTTTACATATATTTATAAAATTGATAAAATGCCCCCCTGAAATTATTAAAATGGTCCCTTTACTCCTGAATCTACTAAATTTTATTTTATTTTATTCGTATAATTTGTAAATATTTATAAAACACCCTCGTAAAATTTATAAATTATCTCCATAAAATTATTTAATTTTAAAAACGTCTTTAATTCTTTATTTCTTTTCCTTCTTATTCTTCAACTTTTTTTTGTCATCTTCAAAAACTTTTGCATTCTCTTTCTACAATTAAAATCTATTTTTTCTTTCAAAATTCTCTCATATTTTTTTTCTTTTTATTTCATTTTCTTCTTAAAAAATTCATTTTTCTTCTTTATTTTATTTTATTTTATATTTTTGACACTCATGCATAATTTATGTGCAATAACCCTTCTTTTTCTTTTGTATCTTCTTATTCATTTTTTATTCACTTATTCTAATGCACTGTTGTTACATTATTATATTTTCGACCTACTTGAAAAAAAAATTATTTTGTCAGTGTTAACATGTCCCCCTGAATCAAATTCCTGACTCCGCCCCTATATATAATATATATATACATAAAATATTGTTATGTGATTGAATTTATTTGAAGTTTGCAAACATAGTTCAGAGTGATTAACAGGTGGATTAATTTTTCGTCACAAAAATAAAATAATAAAAATAATATTCTCTATGATGAATTAAAAAAAAAATGTATAATTATCTAATTCAACGAAAATTCTTTCTTTGTCATAATAATATTATTATTACTTTTCATTGGCAAGAAATATATACCACTCACTCACTCACACACTCATTTTTTTATTTTGGGAATTTGAATATTCATCATCTACTTTAAGAAATAAAAGAAATATCCCTATGCCACAATATGTGTGTGTGCGCGCGCGTGCGCATCTGTATACATATATATGTGTGTGTGGGGGTAAATTTGCGACTATCCAAATTTTTTGAAAAATACCCGTGAACCAAAACCCCTTCAACTTTTGTGATGAGCTGCAAAAATACACCACTATATGTATATTGATTGCAGGTGGAAAATTTTGTGGAACATCACATCATATTGGTGAGAAATTAAAAAAAATTGGGGACAGCTAACATCATTAAGAGTGCTTAATTTGATTCTTAGTTTGATTATTTTAGTCACGCCCACTATTCACAGTAAAAGATGAATTGCTATTGATTGATTCCTTGTGTTTAAATATAAATTTGAGTGAACTTCAAGATCTTACTGTATATTTCATTGTCTACAAGCCGCTTTTTTATACCAATCAGCACAAGATCCCATGGCTACCTAAAATTTTAAATTCAATTTAAAACCTTATCTCCTACCTAAATTAACCTTCTCCTTATTTTTTGCCGCCATTATTTAACAATGCTGCTTCGGCCAAAGTCTTCAACCGCATGCATTCTGTGTGTTTGAAGTTTACCACTAACAGCTTCAGTATTACGTAATAAATTATTATTCTATAATATATATATATATATATATATATATATATATATATATATATTCCTGATCATGGGTTTCTTAAGAAGAAATCTTTATACGGCGGCCGTATTTTAATTTGTCACGTTTGCATTGCAGTAAATGTTTAGACATAATGACACAAATATGAACTAATTAGTTAAGATATTTTGAATTAATTGATCTTTCACCCAATTGGGTCAAATAGAAGAGGTTAATGGAATAAGACCCATTCATGGCCCAGCATTGTATATGTTATGTTTAATCCACATTTCCAAGTCCAAAAGGCCCACGCATGTTTCATCATAGTGAAGTCATCTACGTAGCCGTGGGCCGTGGCATACTAGCAAATTGAACGGCTAAAATATTAATTGTGTTTGGTAACACGAAATTGGAGTGAATAAAATAAAATAAAAATTAATTTAATTTTTAAATAACGTCTACTCAAAATAAAGCCTATTGTACCTTGTAACTTAATTAAGTTTTTTTTTTCAAATCAGATAGATAGAATTCGAATTCTTTGTATCCGACACGTTACGTGCATCTAACTAGCCATTCTTTCTTTCAAATATTCCCTTTAATTTTATTCTATATTTTTTATTCTACTAATACTAGCTAGCGAATTATAATGTATACCAAATTGCAACTCTGAATCTAATTGCATTAGAAATAGAAAATTTCTTGATTACGAATGTATGACATTGATTGATGATTAAAAATAAAATTGTTAGGATTGGCTTGTTAGAAAAATAGAAAATTTAAATTCCTCCCAAAAATATATATATATATATAACATATTGATTTATATCTAAGAACAAAGTTCAAAGGAAAAAAATACTCAATCCGTCTCATAAAAAGTATCATTTTTTGAGAACCACGACTTTCATAAATTGAATTGTCACGGTTCCCCAAAAAGACACTTTTTTTTTGGGACGGGGTTAGTACAATTTTTGTATTCCATCCTGAAAATCTTAGACAGGTCGATAGAACATAGGAACAAAGTCCAAAGGAAAAATATAGAATTTTATTTTCCTCCCCTTTTGAAAAAATAAAAAAATTGTATAGTACCAAAGGGGCTTTGACTTTGAAGGAGTTTCATTCATGCCAAAAATTTATCCCTTAGCATGCCACTGTGTGACTGTGTGTGTCACCATTATCATTCTAGCATGAAGGAGGACTATATCTAATAGTCAGAGAGAGCATCGTCTATTATACTTCTCAGTTTTTACTAAGAATGAATAATTAAGAATAACATTAGTATTAACCATGATTTTGTGTATGCTCAACCTAATTTCATTTACCAACTTGGAAGCCATGAGTCTTGCCTTCTGAATATAAATCATAGAAAACTAAACGAACACAATTAAAAATATAAATAAAAAAGATTGGCTTTACTATTTATTGGTATCCTTAGTCATTGGCATTCATCACATAGACTTCAAAGCTATTCCATCACAAGCTTTTTTGTTTTTTAACACGTACACAAATGGCTCCAAGTCTTGAAGATGGAAACTCATTGTTCGACTTTGTTGTTCAGGATGGCAATGGCGTCAAAGGCCTGGCGGACAAAGGCCTTTCGAAGGTGCCAACGCGATACATCCAACCACCACACGAGCGAATTGACAAGTCGAATGCCTCCCCATTTGAGCAACCACCCATTGATTTATCGGAGCTTGATGGACCAAACCATGACAGAGTGGTGGAGGCCATAGCTCTAGCCGCTGAGACGGTTGGATTCTTCCAAGTGGTGAACCATGGCGTGCCTGTGGAGTTGTTGGAGTCACTTAAGGATGCAGCACACCGGTTCTTTGGTCAGCCACCGGAGAAGAAGGCTGTGTATCGCAAAGGAGTGAGCCCCAGCCCCTTTGTGAAGTATGGGACGAGCTTTGTGCCCGAGAAAGAGACGGCTTTGGAGTGGAAGGACTACGTTAGCATGGTGTACAACACTGATGCTGATGCTCTTCAACACTGGCCTAATGAGTGCAAGTAAGAAAGGTTCACTTAATTTCAAAAGTGTATATATATATATATATATATATATATAAGATCAAGCTAAGTTTATACTTATTGTTCCCTATATATTTTAATTCCTTTTGAGTATGGCATTTCGTTTTCAAGAAAGGCATGTTGCAGATAGTTCAATGACCAAATGGTTGACTTATATATGAAATGGACTAATCAATTAATTCTTGTTCCCAAATGTAAAAAGTAGAATATAAGAGCTAAGATCAACCAAACTTTATAATCATGATATAAATATTCTTCATTACTCAACATTAAATTAATTTCATCATAATCTCTTATTATATCGATCATAAGAATACAAATATAACTTCTATACTACATTCATATTTTTCTCAAATTTCTCAGGGAAGTGGCACTGGAGTACCTAAAGACATCTTCCAGGATAGTGAGAAGGTTATTGGAGGCATTAATGGAACATCTTAAGGTGACACTAGACTATTCAAGAATCGATGCACTCACCGGTTATAAGACGGTGAACATGAACTTTTACCCTGCATGCCCTAATCCGGAGCTCACAGTCGGTGTGGGGAGACACTCGGACTTGGGCACCATAACCGTTTTACTTCAAGATGGGATAGGTGGTTTGTATGTGAATGTGGAAGACGACATAGATGGAGCAAAAAAGGGAGAGTGGATAGAAATTCCACCTGTACCAGGTGCTTTGGTCATCAATATTGGTGATACATTACAGGTTAGATCGAGCTAGATTTAGACTTGTTAATTTATTAATGCACAATTTATTAAGCTACTATATATGCAAAGTTGATAGTTAACTTCATTCTTTATGTTAATTTTTGTTAGATATTGAGCAATGGGAGGTATAAAAGTGCTGAACATAGGGTGCGTACCACAAGCGCAGAATCAAGAGTGTCAATCCCATTGTTCACAATCCCGCGACCAACGGAGAAGGTTGGACCGCTGCCTGAGGTGGTGGAGCGTGACGGTGTGGCACGTTACCGGGAGGTTGTGTTCGAGGATTATATAAACAATTTCTTTGGGAACCCTCATGAAGGAAAGAAATCCCTTGATTTTGCTAGGATCAATTCTCCTTGATCAATATATTTTGCTATATGTTTAAGTGTGTTTTCATTTCCTAATTTGTTTACTGTTTTAGTCTTTGATATATATGTCAAAATATGTAAGGCCTTCAGCTGTGGAACACAAGTTTAAATTTCGTGTGACATAGGCCTATTTCTACCCATACTAAATTGCATGTTTGATCTAAAGTTTATAAAATAAAGTTGATGTTGGAGTGTCATGTACTCCACTGAATACACACACTTGGGCTTAGCAGGATGTTAGGCCCAAAAAAGTAGTGCTAACCGACAAGGACTAAAGCCCATCAACAAACAAAAGAAGCCAAGGTACAAGATTTGGCCCAATCCGCTCAGCAAACAAATAAATATAACTCACAAACTAACTCCAAATTCAAATACAGAGGATCGTTGCTCTAGTTCAATTCTGTGTTCATCAACAGTGAGGAAGATTGAGTTCTTTTATTAATGAAAGGAGGTAAATTCCAATCCAACATTATTTTATTTCCATTTTGTGCCCGGGAGCTTTCCTCAAATGGTCTTTGTGATGATTTTAACACTTGCTTTTATAATTGAGTTTTAAAAAAAATTAAACTAAGTAAAAAAATTTTATACAATTTTTTAAGAATAGAAAATTATTTTTATATTTACAAATTAAGCAAGTCCGAAATTTGTGTAAATTTATAGTTTTCAAAAACTCATTGGGTCATTTGGAGGCATTTTTTTGTTCAGAATTTTCAACCATAAAGGTTTTTAATATTTTAAACCTAAATCCATTTATTTAAAATTATTATACCTAATAATTCCTGTGTTACATTTTTAAGACTCTATTTGTTTAGGTGTAAAAATATTTTTCAAAAAATATTTCAATAATTTTTTTATTGTTTAATAGTCTTAAAATAAGCAAAATATTTTCTCCAAAACTTACAAAAAGGATTTACCTAAAAAATTTCAGTAAATCGTTTTACGCGATCGAACTTCGACGCTTCGAGACTCTGACTACCGCTGTGAAACCCTCCTCCCTCTCTCTCTCTCTCTCTCACACACACACTTACCACAGACGACGACCACTCTCTCTCTTCACATCATAGACCTTCATCGCTGTGAAACCCCAGAAGACTCTCATTCATCTCCACCCTCTTCAAAACCAGGTATGAACTTCTATAAATTTTGAAAATTTTCCTTTCTTAATCTAATTCATCCATAAATTGTTCTTTTGATTTTCAGTCGCCACAGTGCTGTCAATTTCACAGCACCGTATACGATATCGGTACTTCAGTTTTAGTATATATATATATATATATATTTTAGTGGAAACGTTATCAGATTTTGAATTTGATATAATTTCATTTTTATAATGTTATATATCTAAAGTTTCTGTTCTGTTATTTCTGTATGTTTTCTACTGACTATTGTATTGGCTTAGAATTTTGACCTTTTCTACTCCTATACATCTAGTGAAATTAGGTTTTTGTGAACCTAATAATAATAATGAGAGAGAGTATAAAATTCCTATAAAATTTTTAGGATTATTATAAAATTCAGAATAAACCCTTCGAAGTTAAACAAGAAAATGCCACCATTCCTTAAACCCAAACCAACCCATTGTGGCTCCTCTTCTTTACAATCTGATAGACCCAATAATTGGATTAACAACTCAATACCATCCTTATCAACTTCATTCGTCGATTGTGGGTCTTGTTCATTATTTAGTTGAGATGGGTCTTCATGGGTTGCTGGAAATTCAAGGAAACTAGAGAGGAATCTTGGGGTGGTTCACCTTTAAAAAAACCAAAAAAAGAAAAAAAAAAATTATTGAGGGGGTTCACTGTCTTGGAGAGTTGAAGTATATAGAGGTGGTGAGAGACTCTGTTGATATGTAATTGCTTTCTGGTGGTGGTGGAGCGTTCGGTTGTTGATGTGGTGGCGACAGTGGGGGGTTGTGGTGAAGAGAGAGTGAGTGGCTGTGATGGGTGTTCTAATTTCAATATCTTCTCCACATGTTCATGTAAATAAGAGAATTGAAAGCACATGCACAGTAATATGCATATACAAATACTGAGAGATTGGGATTGAGATTGTCCTGTATGACATAAATGATAAGGTTATTTGAACTTGTCAATCTTCTTGAGTGCCACATTTTGCCACTCTTCTGATATCATTACATATGTCTAGACTGGCGGTAATATTGAGGCCAGGTTTACTGAGAATCAATATGTATTTTGGATTTTGCTATGACAGCTGCCTTCACTTTATCTGCTAATTTGCTTTTAAACTTGTAGGATATCCTTGAGTTTGTCTCTGTAAGTGAGCACATAATCCGTCCCAATTCTAGCATATTGATCTTTCTCTGTTTATCAAAATTCTCATCAGCTTTAAACACTTCTTGTGCATGCTTATTTAGCTAATGTTGTAATATGGTGTAGACCATTTATTTCTAATGTATTTTGATTTATAACCCATGCTTTGCTACCATGTGTAAGCCCGAAATTATAAGTTTATTTTAGGGTAAATTAAAAAAATCCCTCAGTTATTGTTGTTTACCAATCGACCCACTTTTTAAAACTATTTGGGTTGACCACCAAACTAACTACAAAACTAACAAAAATCACTTTTCGGACTTTTTCTTGGTCCAAAATATCTCTCTGCACTTTTTCATCTAATTACCCTGTACCACAAAATTTATCAAATGCCCCTAAACCACCCAAAGAATAAAAACTTTTTCTTACGCTTAGCCACTTCATGATTTTACCTACCATTGGCCGAGATACTACATAATAATTACCTACCTCACATGGCAAAACATGATTAACAATAAAATGGAACAATTAAGAATAGCATGTATCCAAACATGTAAGGCTGCAGAGAAGCAAACCAATTATCCCGGGGCCAAAATGGAGCTAAATAAGGTGTAAAAGGAAATTCCAACTCTAGGGGCTCGATCCCCCACTATTCACAGAACTAAAAATGCCCTTGGGGGATCGATCCCCCAGCCCCTAGCAGCATTGCGGGATTTTGTTTTTTGGGCTTATTTTTGTAACTGATGAGCTTTAATAGGGTTTGTTACTTAAGGCCCAGTGAGCCATTAGTTTAGGGTTAGTTTTTCATTATTTTAATTAGGTGAATATTATTATTTGGGACTCAGTTTTTGACGCCGTTTCTTTCGTTGTTCATTTTTTCTCATTTTGGTTATTTTTTGTTCATATTGTTTTACCGTTTGAGCACGTCTGCCTAGATTTCACTTTTTAAGGTCGGGTGGGACCCATTTAAGAAACTTTTAGGGTTTTTTTTTTTTATTAATAGGGGGAGTAAAGAACAAAAGTCAAACTTTCTCTTCTTCCTCCTCCTTGGCTAGCCAATCATGGTAGCCCCTTAGGCTACCACCTTCTTCCTTCTTTTTAGACTTCTTCCTCTTTGATTTTTGGCTCAACGAAGAAATGGTTGTATTAGACTTTGACCCTTTCTTTGCTCAGGGGCAATGTATTTTCGTTTTGGTCACTTTCCATCCGAGCTTTTGGGACTATTTGAAAAGCTTGTCCAACAAGATTGAGAACATACTAGGCCCTTTGCTGCAGTGGTTATTTTGTCATACTTTAAAAATCCTGACTTTCGTGTATACAAAATGGCTCTAACTCTTGAAGATGGGAACTCATTGTTCAACTTTGTTGTTCGGGATGGCAATGGCGTCAAAGGCCTGGTGGACTCAGGCCTTTCGAAGGTGCCCATGCGATACATGCAACCACCACATGAGCGAATTGACAAGTCGAATTCCTATTCGTGTGAGCAACCACCCATTGATTTATCGGAGCTTGACGGACCAAACCATGACAAAGTGGTAGATGCCATAGCTCTAGCTGCTGAGACGGTTGGGTTCTTCCAAGTGGTGAACCACGGTGTGCCTGTGGAATTGTTGGAGTCACTTAAGGAGGCAGCCCACCGGTTCTTTGGTCAGCCACCGGAGAAGAAGGCTGTCTATCTTAAAGGAGTGAGCCCCAGCCCCTTTGTGAAGTATGGGACGAGCTTTGTGCCCGAGAAAGAGAAGGCTTTGGAGTGGAAGGACTATGTTAGCATGGTGTACAACACTGATGCTGATGCTCTTCAACACTGGCCTAATGAGTGCAAGTGAGAAAGCATGCAATCACATGCATCAACAGAATTGCTTTATACTCCTGATATATATTCTTCATCATCATGATCTTATCTTATTATATCATAATCTCTCATATATAAATTTTATTCTACATTTATTTTTTGTCTCAATCTTTGGCAGAGAAGTGGCACTTGAGTACCTAAAGACATCTTCCAGAATAGTGAGAAAGATATTGGAGGCATTAATGGAACATCTTCAGGTGACACTAGGCGATTCAAGAATCGATGCACTCACCGGTTATAGGACAGTTAACATGAACTTTTACCCGGCATGCCCTAATCCAGAGCTTACTGTCGGTGTGGGGAGACACTCGGACTTGGGCACCATAACGGTTTTACTTCAAGATGGGATAGGTGGTTTGTATGTGAATGTGGAAGAAGACGGTGGAGAGAAAAAGGGAGACTGGATAGAAATTCCACCCATACCAGGTGCTTTGGTCATCAATATTGGTGATACATTACAGGTTAGAGCAAGATTTGGACTTGTTTATTAAACAAGAATTTATTAAGCTACCATGCAAATTTGATCATTCATTTTATTCTTATGTTTTTGTTAGATACTGAGCAATGGGAGGTATAGAAGTGCTGAACATAGGGTGCGTACCACAAGCACACAATCAAGAGTGTCAATCCCATTATTCACAATCCCACGACCAACGGAGAAGGTTGGACCGCTTCCCGAGGTGGTGGAGCGTGATGGAGTGTTGCGGTACCGGGAGGTGGTTTTTGAGGATTACATTAACGGGTTCTTTGGAAACCCTCATGAAGGAAAGAAGTCCCTTGATTTTTCTAGGATCAGTTCCCCTTGATCAATAGATTTAAGTGTGTTTCATTTCCTAGTCTCTTTACTCTCTTAGTCTGTGCAACACCAGTTTTAAATTTCGTGTGAAATATGGCTATTCCTACCAATATCTTGTGAAAAAATAACTCCTCTACTTTGAATTAAATTGTAGGTTTGATCTAAAGTTTATATAATAAAGTTGATGTTTGTATCAGTGTATAATTGGATTTGGACCTTTGGTTACAACTTACAAGAAATGCTATGAACCCCTATGACTTAACATTGATTACTTATACTAAATTAATAACATGAATTCCTATCAAAGGTGAGGTCTGAATTTAAATGATGCACGTAGTTTTACTGTAATTGCAAGTTTGCCAGCTATTAAGTGTATTCAAAGTTTGCTAATTATTAGAGAGTTTAGTACTTAACTGTAAGTTGATTCTTTCATAAACTACATCCATTCCTAAAGTCTTGCCCTTCAATGGGATCGGATTCCATGGCAGACCACCGACAAGTTCAGTAATGGTTGAAGGAAGAAATCGATTGTGCCTGTCGCGTGTTTGAAAAAAATTAGCATCATTCACATCAAAGACTTTTCACTTATTTGAAGGGAATTCATAATATTCAAACCTAAACTTGTCACATGTTTGAAGAGAATTGGTATTATTCAAACCGTGGGAACTCTATCTGTCATTAAAAAATTATTATTAAATCCTTACTTATTCATCATTGGAGGCGTGTTCGGGACAGGCACCTTTTTATCAAAATCGTCCCACCAATAAAATTTTTTTTCCAAACTCAATTTGGGGTCATCCCACATTGAAATCCGGGTAAGACATCCAAATATACACATTTTAAAAAAATAATAGTAATTCAAACTTGAATAAATTTAAAATAAAATTTTTAAATTTTTTTTGTAGTATTTGGTCAAATATTTAACAATTATAATAACAAAAAATATTTTAAAATTATCAGAATAAATAAAGGAAAAAAATTAAATTATAATTAATAAAAAAATATTTATTTATACATTAGTTATTAATCAAGATGAATTCGAGACTTCATAGATTTTAAACTCATTTTTTTAAACTCGTACCTAATGATGTTAAATCCGTGAAGCAGGTTAAATTAACTATCCCGGTTAAGCTGTTGCAACCCTTTGCCTTTTAAAAAAAATAAAAGCAATAATATTTGTTTCCCCTTTTCTTTCTTTTTTTCAGAGAAGAAATATATGTTTCTCTTTTGAAAGGGTAATAAAAGCAATAATGTTGATTAATAAGCCATTAAATTCATGTTTGTTGACCAGTGACTTTGACCTTTTCTCTTCTTCGTTTTTGGCAGCCTTCTAGACTTTTCGTCATGATGATGACTTGCTGGTGTACAAAAGTCTTCGAGTGTTGGACGATCCAGATTAAATCACCTCTTTCTGTCTTTGACATTTCTGCATGCTCCATCGCACCCAAACCCGGTTGATTCCCAGTCAATAGAAAATTCCATAAAATTATTATTGAGAAATTAATAAAATTTCAGGCTACTCGGGTGGCTTCATAGTCGATCTGAGAGGGTGAGATCGTTCTAGAGTTGGAGGATGAGGATTTAAGCTGTGTTTGGACTGGGAGGATTTCACAATTGGATTTGAAATAGGATTTCAAAGTGTTTGGAATGTATGAGATTTTAGAAGAATTGAGATTTGACAAGATTTTATAGGAAATATAATAAAAGTAACCAAATCCTTTGATAGGATTTGATAACTAAGGGCCTGTTTGGAGGCCCATATCTGTTATTGTTTTCATGTTTTGGTTTTATTTTTGGGCCAATATCATGTTTGGAGTGGGCTGATGTGGTATTGAACAGTGTAAAAACATTATGAGATTTGGGCCAAAACCCATATCAAAGAATTGGTGATATTGGGTGATATGGTTTACTGTAGCGGCCATATCAACCCAAACCAAAACCATATCAACCCTCATTTAACTATAGCGGTGATATCAAGTATAAAAATTCGCATATCAGAACTGGCCCATTTTTCAGCCTCACTCTCTCTCTCTTCGCGCAGCTCCTTGGAGGCGATTTCAGAGGCGATAACTTCATACACAAACTCTTCCACCACCGATCTGGCATATCTCCTCCACCAGCTACCTCCTTCCATTTTTGGTATTGCTGGCCTTTCTTTTATCTCGTTCGCCAAACTCAACCTTCTCTCTACTTCTCTCTATTGACAGAACTCAAGCCCTAGTTTTCTATTCGATCCCTACTTCGACGATGGAATTATCAATATATCCCAGCCTCTCTCCATCTCATCTCATAGATAGATTACGGAAGATGATTCAGACCGAATCTCTCGCTCCACCTTCACTCACAGTCACTTCATGGTCGGATCGAAGCCCTAACCTGTGAAAATGTTTTCCCTCTTTCCGTCAAACCTCTTGCAGTTGGCCATCGGAGCAAACCCTAAGCCCTAAAGAAGAAACCCGAAGTCTGGAATCCTCCATTAGAGACGCGAAGATGTGTTCGGCGATTTACAGACGACCGCTGCTGCTAGGTTTGTTTCCAATCCATTTCTCTCTGTATTTATACACGTATATGTGTGTGTGTGTGTGTGTGTTTGTTCACAAAACTTACTCGGTCGATTAAAATGGATACATAAATTTTGATTCTTATTCTTCTCACTCCCTGACCCTCTTCGGCGATTAAAATGTTTATATATATATATATATGTGTGTGTGTGTGCGTGCGCGCTTTTCTGTGTATTGATCTGTTGTTTAATCGATTCTTGATTTTTTTTTCATTTGATGAATACATGACTCATCTATGCGATTTTGATGTTAGAGTTAGGCCAGAGGAGTTCAATTTTTGAAGAGGATGTGTACAAACACGTTAGGGATTTCAATTTTGTTGATGTATTTACAATGACTTTGATGTTTCAAGGTAAGCCTCTGTTTCTTTGTTTCACTCTCTCTCTCTCTCAAGGTAAGCCCTATTTCTTTGTGTCACTCTCTCTCTCTCTCTCACACACACACACACGTGACTTCTGAAAATCGAGTGTCTTGCATGGATTAAAATAAAAAAAATCTGGTTTTGGGTTGAAGTCTTACATTCTATTCGTATGTTGTTGGCTTGTTTACTCTAAATCAATTTATTTGTATTTGGGTTGCTGTTATTTGAAATGCTTAGTTGTGTTCCATCATATGTTTATAGATGGCTGATTTTGTTGAATTCTTTGCTACTTTGGATACATGTCAGTGTAGAAAAATAAAATAAAATAGGTCACCTTTGATTTATTTTAGATGTTCTGTGAAATCCAACTGTTATTGCTGGGAAAAACCACTCTTTATATATGAGTATCTATATATATTAAAATTTTCTGTGTTCTTCAAGGGGGGTTCTATGTTTTAGAAAAATATTGAGTTTGCAGAAATTTTTGCCACGGAAATTGGAATTTTTTCTAACTTAACTTCTAGAGTTTCAAGATTATTGGGTCTAACTTTATACAATCCTGAAGGCTCATTTCTGGAGTGGTCAAGTATATTTGAATTTTGTTGATGTATTTACAATGACTTTATACAATTGTTTAATTTGCCAAATAGCAAGATACATGGCTTTATTTTTAATTTCACATTTGACTGAGATACCTTTCAAATACTCATTCATTGCCATTCTGAAGATTGATTATATATATATATATATATGTATATCATGAATTATATTTGAATAGTACATCATTCAACCTAATAAATCAAATTTTATTTCATATGTTTCAACAATTGGGCCACCACCAATCTGGAAATGTCCATTTTTTAAGGGGAAACCATGCCGGATTTTCGAAAAAAAAAAATGAATTTAAACTTTGATTCCAAAAAGGCATGTGGTTGATTTTTGAAACTTGAAATGGATTTTTGAAAGAGTTTTGAATAGTGGATTTGAATTGAAAAGAAAGAAAATGTTAAATTATTTTAAGAATCCAAGTTGTTTTGACATGCATAGTTTTTGACTTTGAAAAATATTGATTGATCAAATTTTGTTTATTGTTTTATTTCATTGTCTTGAATATGAAATGCATGGATTGTTGAAGAAGGCCTATGAGCTATCTGTGCTCTGTGATGCTAAGTTGCTTTGATTATCTTCTCTCAATAAGGGAGGGTCTATGAGTTTTCCAGTACGAAATATATTTATCATCATCTTACCCAATCAATTTCAGATAGCACCTATTCAATTAGTGTATGTGTGTGTAAATTGTGTATAGTTTATGTTCACTATAACTATTGTAAATTGTGCATAGTTTATGTTCAGTGTGCTCCTACAAACTGCTCTTGGGTACTAAGATATATGCAGTTTTTCCTTATTGAGCAGCATGGTTAAAACATGATCATTACAAAAACAATTCATGAAGGACATGGCACCAGTGGGATTTATAGGACGCATTCTCCAGTTGCTACAACTCCAGGAAGCTAGTGATCTCTCAGTTAATCAAATAGAGGCCTATGCAAGTATAAAGAAGTGTGTGTACATTTTATGGAATGAATTTTAGTGATCTCCGGTTGTGTGTACTATTTTTAAGGAATTTCTAGCTCCCTATATGTGCAACTATATATGTGAATGGTGCAACAACAATTTATTAAGTTTGTGATGAATAAAAAAAACTTGTGGTTTGGTATGTTATTTATGATTGATTAAAATCCTACAAAATATTTTCAAATACTTGTTTGGATGGCAATAATTTTTCTAGCAGGTTGTTTGATGGCATGCCTCTCTTTTTATTTTTTTATTTTTGTCGGGGTGATTTATTGTTCTCTCTTATAAGAGAGGGATCATCTTTGATTGCTCGCTTTTAATCTTTCTTCCTATTTATCAATTCTGCTTATGGTTGTAGATATATTGTATGAAATAAACAAAAGTTGGTTATCAAAATAAATACTCGAGAAAAGGGGAAACGGTCTCATGAGTTAACAATAAAAATATTAGTACTTTGAAGGATCTACAACAGGAAATTCAAACTAATCTTACTAAAGTAAACTCATTCACAAGAGTCAATGTCCATCATTTGCTTCTTGTTAGTTTTAACTACAAGGATCTCTCTCTCTCAATCATAATGAATTTATATAATATATATATATATATATATATATATATATATATATGTATGAAACAAAACAAAGTTAAATGGAGTACAAGCCAAAAGAAAAAGATAAATGGAGTGCAAAGATCTCCTCTCATTGAAAGATTATTACAAAGTTAGATTTGTAGTTTGGTTGCCACTAATCATGTTTATACCTTATAAACATCCCACATGATCTTATTTATACATGTAAATTTATTCATAATTTTTTTTCCCAACTCTTTAATGCAGAATATATATATTTTATTTTAACAAATTATCTGAAATTATAAAGAAAAATGGACTATTACATATAAACATATAATTGTATTCATATATATAATTATTCAAAACAAAAACAAAACAGTCTTTTACCACACAGATATCTTGTTATTGATTCAGAATTTTGACAACAAAACTAACTTTCCAAACGTGTTTTGTTTTCGAATTCCTTAAAATGCATGACATTACCAAACGCATTTTCATGTTTTTGATATACAATTATCAAAAACAAAACAGTCGTTACCAAACATGGTTCCGATTTCTACTAAAAACATATCAATACCAAAACGGTTGTTTTCATATCATACCAAATCATAACATATAACGTTATCACGATCCAAACGGGCCGTAACTATTTGATTTATTAAAATATTATTTTACAAAAATACCCCATTTCACATTTCTCATCCTACAATCTGATTTCTCCTGCCTCATTTTAAAATTGTACAAAAAATTTATTTATTTTCAAATTCTCTTTTACAAATTTTATTTTATTTCAAACATAAAATAAAATTGGATTAATTATGCTCACATCCCCTGAGGTTTGCTATATTGACAGTCAGATGAGAATTAACCTCTTTTTAAACTATGACACTCCTCAATTTTGATAAAGTTAACAAAGACCCCCAAACATCACCTGCCGCATTATATATATATGATGAAATGACCTATATGCCCTTTGACTTGTCAACAACAAGCTTTGAATTATGAAATGACTTCAATGTCCTTCTAACCAATTTTAATCCCCTCTCACTGTCTTCTCAAATTCCCAGCACATCACCCCCAAAGTATATATATATATATATATATATATCGTGTGTGTGGAGATTCAGTATCTAAGAGCATTAACGGAGATGTCTCTTTCTAAGGACTCTTTTTCCATATATATACGTGTGGGTATGTATATATATATATATATATATTGACTATATGAAACGTCAAGCTTCAAACAATGAAGCAAGCCAGAATTTAATTGCAAAATTCAGAAACAAAAGTTGAGAAAAAAATTCAAATAATAAACTAAAAATCAATCTACATATAAAGTATAAATACAATATTTACACACGCCAATTAAACTGATTCCCTTGTTGTTGTCAGACATTTCCCAAAATATCAGCATAACGTTGAAGTGAAATTAGAGTTAGAGAAGAGTCACCAATGAGATTTGCAGAGGATTTCTCACAATCCAAAGGTTAGGGAAAAGGTAACATGGTCTCGCACCCAGCAAATTCACTCTTACCATACCTAAGTTGCAAGACCCATTCACGAACCCAAACCTAGCCGCACGATTTGAACCAATCAACAACACCCATCGCCAACAATCTCGCCGGAATCTATGATAATCGTTACCCGAATCTTCCCAAGCTTTTGTCCTTATCAACCGTCATCGTCATCAGAGTGTTTTCATTGCTACATCGTCGCCGAAATCTAATACTTTGTCATCGGAGTTGTGCTTTACTGTTGTCACCGACAACCATTGTCGCAGTCATGTCAATTTGGTTGTCGCTAGAGCCTTTTGTTGGATCTTTGTCGTTAGAATCTTCATTGGAGCTTTGCCCTAGTCGCATGATGTGGAAGAAGGCATGGATCTGGATCGTCCTTGGGAAAGACGGGAGAGGTGAGAAAAAAATAAAAGTAAAAAATAGTATTAATATTGAATTTTCTCATTTAGGGCATTTCGGTCAATTAATGTTTTATATATTTATATTAAAATTTGATAAAATATTCAAGGGTAAAGTAGACATTTCACATATTTTAAGGGTTTGTTTGGATACAAAATTTATCAGGGGATGTCATTATTTGAAAAGAGGCTAACTTTCATCTGACTGTCAATAGAGCAAACCTTAAGGGGTGTCACTGTAATTAACCCAATAAAATTTCATATTAATTACAATCCAATTCCTTTTACAATTGTTATTAATAACCCATAGTCGATTGAAGAGTTATATCAGATTTTTTTTGGGATTGGTCCAGGTGGGCCTTGTAGCCTGTTCGGCCTCGTATGTTTGGGCTGGCCCTTTTATTAAAAGGTTAAATGCTTACCAAATATATATTTTAATAGAGCCTTTATTAGTTATCAGTGAATGAGTGGAAGTAAATACTCCATTCGTTTCAAATAATTGTCTATCTTTTTATTTTGAGATGTTTAAAAAAAAAACATGTATCATTCTAAAATTGAATGTATTATTCTTTATAACATTTCTAAATTATCCTTTTAACTAAACAACTGCACTAATTACGGAATATTATTTTGTCTTTTAGTAAGGACATATTTGAAACTTAACTCTTATCAATATAAGAAAAAACTATCAAGACTCCATTATCATAAAAAGTTAAATTCCCTATACAAGATATATATATATATTGGGATAGAGGAAGTAGGTCGTTGGACTTGTGAAAACTCGTGTTAGAGATGCTCTAAGTATGTATCTGTTTTAAGGGTACCACTTGTCCTTTTTGATTCTTTTCCAAGGTACTTTGTGTGTTATATTTTTTAGGCAAGCCAATCCTAGAAATTTTATTGTTAACTATCAATCAGTGTACATTCTTGATCAAGAATTTTTATTCCTAGAGCAACTAGCTGATTCAGATTTTCATATATATATATATATATATACACTTAATATTCCACGAGATTGGTAATGGTCTCAATGCCTCGATTTGGTTTGACCAATAGCTGCTTATGAGACCTCAAAACAGAGTTTCAAATTCCTTTATTTTGACACCATGTGCATAGGTCATTGGAAGGATCTTGAAGATCCACCAAAGTGCGAAAATCGAAATCTTGCAAAAAAGCGAATTTTTATTCGAAGAGTGCATAACCGCGTGAATAAGCTCACACTAACCCATTAATTTGTAACCCAATTTGAGATTTTTCATTAGAGGCATCGGGATGATGGATTGTGATCAACTATTTCTTTAGTCCTATTGGAGTAAGAGCTACATATTATGCACTCTTCGATCCAATTCGATCCGTGAAATTTATATATATTTTTTCAAAGAATATATTAATTAATAATAATTTAATGGGCTCTAAAGATATATTAGTTAATAATTAATTAAATATATGAATTAATGGTTAAAAGATAAATAAATAATATTAATTATAAAAATAATAATAAATAATTTAGATTAAATTCAATTCACGGATTTAATTTAATCTGATCCGTTATCACACGAATCCGATCCAATCCGAGTCATGAGATAACGTATTGATGATGGATTAAGATTTGTCTTGATCTGTTGGAAGCGAATCGAATTAAGATTGATGTCTAATTCGATTCGATTCGTAGCCACCCCTACATATAGGTTTTGTGGTCGATTTTTTTGCAGCACTAAAAAAGTCAATTAAGAAAATTACAGAATTATAGGGTATTCAAAGTTAAGAGCTACATCTACTACTAAGTTCAGCCACGGTTGAAGGAAAAAGAAATCAATTATGCTGTTGACCGTTGCCAACGGTTACGTTTTAAAATTTGGCTAATTGATCTACTTTGGTTGGGCTTCGTGAGTTTTCCTTAAAAGGCTTTGGGCTTCATTACACTACTTTTGTGGGCCTGTAGCCCTTCATGTTCATTTACCCAAATCAATCCATCCGCCAATCAATATATTGTTAATTTTTCCCATATATTGCATTTGTTTTACATTTTTTTTTTTTTTTCCTGGCTACAACATTTATTTTACAGTTGGAAAACCTTTATAAATATTTCACACAGTAACTAAAATCTTGAACCCAGAGTTTGTCCTTGGTTCATTTGGTATGAATTGGAAAGATTGAAGAAGGGTGGAAGAAAAATAAAAAAGAAGAAACAAATTTTTCCCTGGTTCATTTGTTATGAACTTAGAAGGAAGGAAGGAAGAAAGGTAGAAGAAAAAAAAAAAACGTAGAAACAAATTTCATATTTGTTTGGTGGTAAAAAAATAAAAGAAAAGAATGGAAAATATGATGAATGAGTCATTCTTTCTCATTCACAAATTTTAATTCCTCCAAAAAGATAGAAGGGTGATAAGAAAGAAGATAAGCAAGACTATTATGAAAATTTTAAATTACAATACTATTCTTAATAATTATAGATAGACTCAATATTAATTATCTTTTTTTTTTCTTCTCTCCTAACCAACAATGCAAGGTATTACCTCATTTTCTTCTCTTTTGTTAGACCAAACAAAAAGAGGAAAAAATAATTTCCTTTCGTAGAAAAGTCTCAAACATTAATTTTCTCTTTCTACCATTAAATTTTTTTCTTTTTTACCAAACAAATATAAAAATAAAAAGATATTA